GCCATTAATACATTCTCTCAACCATCCTTTAATTCCTTTCGCATGCACCACATTCTCTCTTTTCTTTTTGCTCGCTGTTTTTTTTTCTAGTTCTACACTTTACTTCAAGCTCACGAAGTACTATCAGAACAAACTGCTTCCTGGTAGTTATTCAAGGCTTTAGAGAAATATGTAAGTGCTCTTATTGGATTGGCTCTGAAGTGAATTCTAGTGCTCGTACTGCATGATTAGAAGCTATGGTTATGAATGCTAAAGAAAATGATAACATGTAGAGACACCTGATCGAGAACTCAGTTTGCGGCGTATCTTATTGCAATGATATCTTTGCAGCCCTAAGTTCAGTGGATCTTTTTTTTTTTTTGGCTAACCAAGAAACCCAGAGGCCATTAGCACACGGTTCGAAACTTGGTGGATAATGGACCCGACCCTCTACCCTTCTCTCCACTTAAATACCAAGCTTTTGTCCGCGTCTCGTGCCGTGCACCTTGTCACACCTCCTTTTTCCGCCCCCGCGAGGGGTGAAGGACNACATATCCCTGGCTAGAAGGGAATCAGGTTAATGTAGTTCGGGAAGTGTTGGTAGCTGGGACTATCATGGGACTGCGATTTGTTGTTACTGCTGCTGCGTGCTGTTACTACTGCTTACCGATCTCCTTATTACATCGTGTTTAAAAGAAAAATCAAGAAGCTAGGCTAGATAACGGATTACAAGATCCCATCCATCTTCCATTTGTTCTGGACGCCTCGCTTTCTTGTCGACTTGCGTCTATTCCGGTGCTGCTTTCTTCCGAACACTGATGGGGTGACACCAACCTCTTGCTACTTTGAATACCAATTATCACTGTCTAGCTCGGTCCGCTGGGGATGGCTTCCTTCATTAAGCTTTGTTATGCCGGGGATTTTTGTTGTAACCTTCTGCCTTCCGGTGTGTTACTGATTCCAGGACCTGAAGTATAAGACTGAAAAATATTCCTCTCGTTATACAGGTGGGCGCCTGAATGCAAAAATATGAAATGTATTCCCTCGTTATACTGGTGGGCGCCTAGGACATGAAATGAAAAACAAAAATGTATTCCCGCATTATACTAGTGGGCGCCTAGGACATGAAATGAAAAACCGAAGTGTATGCCCTCATTATACTGGTGGGCGACCTAGGACATGAAATGAAAAACATAAATGTATACCCGCATTATATTGGTGGGCGACCTAGGACATGAAATGAAAAAACAGAAATGTATACCCGCATTATATTGGTGGGCGACCTAGGACATGAAATGAAAAAACAGAAATGTATACCCGCATTATACTGGTGGGCGCCTAGGACATGAACTGAAAAACAGAAATGTATTCCCTCATTATACTGGTGGGCGCCTAGGACATGAAATGAAAACAGAAATGTATGCCCGCATTATACTGGTGGGCGACCTAGGACATGAAATGGAAAAACAGAAATGTATTCTCGCATTATACTGGTGGGCGCCTAGGACATGAAATGAAAAGACTGGAAAGTATTCCTCTCGTTATACAGGTGGACGCCTGATCAACTAAGACGTAAAAATATTTGAATTTGTTTCCTCGTTCCTCCGAGAAAATTTTTGGACAACGGCAGAAAATTTCCTGCCCTGGTTTTGGTGACCTTCCTTGTGGCGTGTCTTTCTGCCATCATCAACCTTTATTTTCCTGTAGAAATCAAAGGGAGTTTTGTTAGTTTTAACATGGTGAGTGATCGTGTCACTCCTGCTGGGGGATGATTTTCCTTTCCCTTTCCCTTACTCCGTGCTCCCAAAACTGGTTGGGGATAAAGTTGCTTGCTGGGGATGATATGTCTGCTGGGATGGTTTTCCATTTATCCCTTCCCTGCTCTTTTGTTTCAAAACATGTTGTGGGAGTCCTCTTCAACTTCAAAACTACTCTCTTAAAAGTTTATTTTCTCCCCAGCCCTGCAGGGCATAACATGTTATCACCTGGGATAACGTTATTGAGGATAGGACTGTTAGGGTTATTTTGCTGCGGATTAATTCTCTCTTCCTCCTTCCCCCTTTCTGTGGTGTCTGACCACCTTGGACCTTGGTCCGTGATCTATCGAAGTTCTTGCTGGGGATCTTCTTGGAACTTGGTCCATAAGTCCCTCAACCGTCATGTTCCCCTTAACTTTCTAGGCCAGTTTGTCATTTGGTTTTGCAACAAACACCTTTTGTCTTATTGCCCCGGCTTTGGCCTGTCCCATTCGCATTTTGCTTTGTACCATTTTGGCCCCTGGTAGTAAACTCTGAAAAATCCTTCTCAAAACAAATTTCTGGAAAAAGTCTTTTTAGACTAAGAAAATAAAAAAGATAGAAAAAGAGAAAAATTTCTAAACAAATGCTGGGGGAAAGGAAAAAGAAAGAACTTATCTGGACTGTATGAATGGTCCCAACGATCATGTCGTGCATTACGGATTAATCGACCCAGCCTATTTGTATCAATCAATCTTCCTGATGGCCTCACTTGCTG